GTCTCCAAGCGCAGAGAAGAGACTGGGCCAATATTCAACATTCTTGGAATAAAATAATTTTCAACCCAGAATTTCAGTATCCGGTGCGCGCGCCAAGACGTAGAGTTCATAAGTGAAGAGGAAAAAGAATCCGTTTGACAGGAGCAAGCCAAGGAGCTAAGGAGATTTAGGTCAGCCACCAGGCCTGCCCTACAAGAGATGCCTGAAGAGAGGGGGCACTAAAGCATGGAGGAAAGGAAGACCACACCGTTCACATTAAAGGTTTGAGGATCAAGCTTCAAAGACAGAATACTAATCCTCATTGTCCACGCATAGCTTAGAAACACTTTTAATTTAAAAAACAAAGTATATTTTTTTAAAAGACACCAATAATAAAACTTTTATAAAGACTTCAAGGAATCAATATGCAGGCATAAGCAGCAGCTAAAGAAAAAAAAGCACGCTGTTTAGTTTCAAAAGAATAACTTGGTCTTGACAGAAGGAAACTTTTGAAGTCAATTTCAAAGGAAAGTTAGGATTTACATAACCAGTAAAGAGACATTAGGACAAAGCAGAGGTGGAATAATTATAGCCAATAACCCTGCAATATAAAAAGGAGCCTCAAGAGGACCTCTTCCTCCTTGCACTTAGTTCCTAAGTCTACCATATTCACAATACCCATTTCAGCCTAAACTTTGTCTTCTGGAGCCAACAATCACTAACCTATTTTAAGGGACTAGAAAATGTTCCACCCTGGCTATGCAGTGAAACCCCGTTCTCTACTAAAACTACAAAAAATTAGCCGGGCGTGGTGGCACGCGCCTGTAGTCCCAGCTACTCACCCGGCTGAGGCAAGAGAACCACTCGAACCCAGGAGGCGGAGGTTGCAGGGAGCCAAGATCGTGTCACTGCACCACTCCAGCCTGGGCGACAGAGCAAGATTCCGTCTCAACAACAAAAAATAAGAAATAAAAAGAAGAAAATGATGTGATCTACCACAGGAAGGCAGTGACGTATGGACTTCTGGCATCCATTTCAGAATATAAAGAATATCATTATTTGGGAGAAAAATAAGGACATAAAAGGATATACAAAGCACACATTTTAAAAACAAAAAACAGTATCTGTACTTACATTGTATTTTCACCATTGCTGCCTATTATGTGCCAGGTAGTGAATGAAATAATTTCCACACATTTGTCATTTAATTCTTACAATAGCCCTCTGAGGTGTATGAACAACTACCAGCATTTTACAGGATGAGTTTAAAAGGTATTAAGAAACTTTCCTAAGGTCACCTAGAAAGTGGTAGAGCAGGATTGAGCTCCAAGTCTGTTTGGATGCTGACCTTTTTCACCCTCTTACCTATTATCATAAACTAGAATGGGAAGCAGAGCTGGGCATAATGCCAAACTACAGATAATCCTCAAAGAGTCCCTTTATTTTAGAATATATTGACTGGCGTTTTAGAAAACAGATCTACATTCCTAAACCTTGTAACAAAGTGAGTCGACATTCCATAAGCACACTCAGCAAGCAGGGATTTGTTCTAGAGAAACGTGAAACTAGTCTACATTACTAATATCCCCAGTGTTTGAGTGAGGGGAGGGAAAAAGCCATACACCTGAATGCAAAAAAAGGAAGGGGGTGGAGTTGTTCGAATAGAGTTACATATTTTGCCGTCCTAAGTTACATATTGTTATCAAAGTATTTACAAAAGAAGCATGAGTCTGGGTAACACATTACCACCCTCCCCCCCTCCATTTTCCCTACTAAAATACTATTAAATTTGGCAGCAAAGGAGCCCCCGGAACAGTGGCTCAGCAAAACGGTGGCAAATGCAAGGCCATAAAGGGCTGCCATTAAGATGTCTCTCCATGGGGAAGGAGTGTTTTCACTGTTACAGAGCAACTAGCTGATCAGAGTGGGGCCGTGCTTTGATCAGAAATCCTTCAAAAATGCACTGCCTGACACCTAGTTTTAACAACCAATGGCAGGGACAAGTTGGAGACGCTGGGGGGTGAAGTTCCAGGATACCAAAGGGTCTCCGGCCGACAGGATCCCTTAAGGGACCCCGCGGACAAGGATGATGGTGGCCCGCCGGTGGGAGATGCTGGGCCTTCGCCCCTGGCAGCAGCGGGATCTCTCTCCGGATGTCCACTGCAGCCTGGAGGGAGCTGTTTCCACTCCTCTAGCCCGCAACCCTCGGCTCCCTTCCCCCCAAGAAAGAACTCACTGTTCTGGGTGCTACACCCAAGGCGCCCTGCACCCCCAGCAGTCCAGGAGGAAGGCGCCCCCTCTCCCTCTAACCCCACCAACCCAGGGTCCTAAACTCTCAAACCCGGAAGGCAGAAACAGGAAGTTACCCCCATCTCCCCTGGCGGCTTTGCTAGAGCCGCTCTAGGAAGCAGTGATGGCCAACTCTCGTTGATCTTAACCCTTAGGGTCCTGGACCAGAAGGAGCGTGGGGGTGGATTTCCTTTCCTTGTGCTGTGACAGCTGTGAACCTCATTCCTGTCACTTGCTAGGCGGCTTACGACAGAGGCCTGATTGGAGCTTATACCTTTCCTTGCCATCAGAATATCATCAGATTAATTATCGTCACTATTAGAATAAAAATCAATCTAGTATTTTTTTTTTTTTTTGAAACGGAGTCTCGCTCTGTCACCCAGGCTAGAGTGCAGTAGCGCGATCTCGCCTCACTGCAAGCTCCGACTCCCGGGTTCACGCAATCCTCCTGCCTCAGCCTCCCGAGTAGCTGGGACTACAGGCACCTGCCACCATACCCGGCTAATTTTTGTATTTTAAGTAGAGATGGGGTTTCACCGTGTTAGCCAGGATGGTCTCGATCTCCTCACCTCGTGATCCGCTCGCCTCAGCCTCCCAAAGTGCTGGGATTACAGGCGTGAGCCACCGTGCCTGGTCTCATTCTAGTATTTTTAAACACTTACTGTTTCTGTTCCCACCGCTGTGAGAGTGGATATGTATTTACTTATCTGTGAAAGTTAGAAAGCCAAGGCATCCATTCACATATAAAACAATTCGTTTACAAGTCACCCTTATTAACTCCTGGAAAAGTATCTAATCCCTCCTTTTTCATTACAGAGAAAATAGAAGCCAGTCCCTTCACCTCATCTCTACCAAACATAGAAATCCACTCAAGTGTGCACACTGCCATTCTGTTTCTTCCTGTTACAACACAGAGTTCCTCTTTGGCGGTTTGTTGTTTTTTTTTTTCTTTTTGGGTTTGTTTTTGTTTTTGTTTTTGTTTTTTTGGAGATAGAGTCTCACTGTGTCCCCCAGCCTGGAGTGCAATGGCAGGATTTCGGCTCACTGCAACCTCTGCCTCCCTGGTTCAAGCAATTTTTCTGCCTCAGCTCCCGAGTAGCTAGGACTACTGGCGTGTGCCACCACGCCCAGCTAATTTTTGCATTTTTAGTAGAGACAGGTTTCACCATGTTTGCCAGAATGGTCTTGATCTCTTGACCTCATGATCTGCCCACCTCGGCCTCCCAAAGTGCTGGCTCTTTGGCATTTTAATAAGCCCTTTACTGGTACTCGCTTTCCTACCCATCTTCTTGGAAACTTCACACTACCAACCAAACTCACAATCCCTCCACCCCATCCCCAAATGGTCCCTCAGCTTTTCTTTCCTCTTTTTACTCACAATGTTTCCATTTCACCAATTTTCCACTGACCTTAACATTTCTCCTGCAACAACAACGAAAAATCACTAGCATCACCAATGACCTCCATGATGTCAGTTAGTGCAATTGGTATTTTTTAGTTCTCAGGTCCTTTTTCAGGAGGTTTGATATGGCTAAGGACTCGTCTTCTAGAAACAGTCTTTTGAGGTGATACCACATTCTCCTCCTTTTCTTCCAACATCTCTAGTCAGTCCTGTTAGTCTCTTTTCCAAGTCAGTCCCTCGAGATCATCCTCTCCTCTTATCACTGAATGTTCTCTGCCTAGGCAATCTCATCCACTCCCACATTTTCAAATACCACCTAGGCAGACAACTCAAAAATTTGCTTCTCCAGCCCAAGCTACATGGGTGAGCTCTTCACTCATAACTAGTGGTCTACTTGGCATCTCATACAGGAAGTCTCAATAACACCTCAAAACCAAAATGTCAAAAATCAAAATCATAATCTGTCTTCTCTCTCACTGTTCTTCTCTGTATACACATATAAACACAAAATAAAACAAAATAAACCTGTTTCTCTTCCAATATTCTTTCAACCATCCATCCAGTTTTATGGAAACCCAAAAGTCCTTCTTTTCACTTCCCTTTCCTTACCTTCCATATACAATTCATAAATAGCCTCATCCATTGTGTAATAAATAATTCTCACCTGTAGTTGTTTCCCCTAACCACCTAGGCCACCTCTATTCTGGCAACCATCACCCCTCACTTGGAAGGATTTCCATGCCCTCCTAACAGTCCTATAGATACCCATCCTTACTCCCAGTCATTCACTCTTCCCTGTTGAATCCAGAGGTATCTTTTCCAAAAATGAATCTGATTCTTCCATGTTCCTTTACCTAACTGAGGCTTACTCATCCTTCAGGTTTCAGCTTACACATCACTTTCTCACAGAAGCTTTCCAGGCTCTTCTACATGCCCTTCTCCTATCATATCTTCTTTTTCCATTGTAGCCCATGTAATGACTGCAACTTTATGTTTGTGTGATTGATGCATTATTTTGCCTCTCCATCCAGATAGCAAGTTCCATGAGAACAGGGCCTGCCTCCACTTTTGCTTATGATTCTATCTTACAGCTTAGCACAGTGCCTGACTCCTTCATTCATTTATTTAACAAATATTTGTTGAAAGCCTACTATGTGCCTGTTACTGTGTTATCCTCTATACTGAGGATACTCCAGGGCACCAGACATTGTGGGGGAGATCATAAATGAACATCAACAAAAAGTAAACAAATGTATGTTAAGCAGTGATGAGTATTAGAAAAAGAAGTAAAGGAAGTTAAAGAAAGTGTACTATTTCAGCTCATCAGGGAAGTCCTCTCGGTAGGGAGATATTTCAGCAGAAGTATGAAGGAAGAAAGGCGTGGGCCTCATGGTTATTTAAGGGAGGAACAACTAAGACAGGAACAGTAAGAAAAAAGACTCTGAGATGGAAACTCAAGAAATCATAAGGAGCAGAGCAAGTGAAATGAACAGTACTTGGAGATAAGGTCAGAGAAGTTTCAAGAGGCTAGGTCATAATCATATAGACCATAAGTGACAGACACAGAGATGCATCACTCAGACTCCAAGGAAGTACATATTGCCCACCTTTGAGAGTGCTGTGAGCGGAAAGCTTTCAGCTGTTGGCTCCCTCAGGGAGTGCTTCAGTTTCAGAGAAGAGCCTTTCTGAAGCTCATGCCCTTTCCAAGGCAGCCCACGTCTAGTGACTGATCAAGGCAGAAATATAAAAGCCTGTCTGTGTTGTCCAAAGCAGGATAACTCTTAAATGCACTATTTCACCTTCCTGTGTGTTGTTTGTTTTTTAAGACAGCCTTACTCTGTCACCCAGGCTGGAGTGCGGTGGCACAATCACGGCTTACTGCAGCCTCGACTGCCCAGGTTCTAGCAATCCTCCCATCTCAGCCTCTTAAGTAACTGGGGCTAAAGGCACGTGCCACGATGCCCTCCTAATTTTTTAACTTTTTTGTAGAGAGGGGGGTCTCACTTTGTTTCCCAGGCTGGATGTGAACCCTTGGGCTCAAGCAATCCTCCTGCCTTGGCCTCCCAAAATGTTGGGATTACAGGTGGAGCCACAGTGCCCAGCCAACTCCTGAATTCTTGATGGCCTTGAAGGAGGAATCTGTTGTCAAGCCCAAATTGCAGGTCTTCCCCCTCTGCTCAATCCTGATTCCTTTCCCACCTTTCCACAGGTTTGGATACCAAGGCCATTTCCTAATCAACACCTGGACTCTAAACTCAGTCTCAGAATCTGCTTCCTCAACAAACAAACAAATGAACAAAAACCTCCAAAATACATACAGAAAGTGAAGTGAAATGTCCTCTCTCATTCCTGCCCCCAGCCATCCAGTTCTTCTCTCCACTGGGGCAACCAACGTTGTATGTTTCTTGTGTATTATTCACAGATACGCCACATGTGAGCAAATACCTGCCTACCTACTTATATACATACATATACACATACATAGGTAATGAATAAAGATAGGTGACAGATATTCATTCATTTCATTTGCTACACATATAGTAAACTATTCACTTTGTTCTAAATTTTAGTTTTTTCACTTAACAACATATCATGGAGAATTTTATTTTCTTCTCTTTTTTTTTTTTTATTTTTGAGGCAGAATCTCACTCTGTCCCCCAAGCTGGAGTCCAGTGGCGTGATCTCAGCTCACTGCAACCTCAACTTCCAGGGCTCAAGCAATCCTCCCACCTCAGCCTCCTAAGTATCTGAGACCATAGGTGTGTGCTACTACTGCCAAATTTTGTTTTGTTTTGTTTTGTTTTGTTTTGTTTTGTTTTGTTTTGTTTTGTTTTGTAGAGACAGGGTCTTACTATGTTGCCCGGGCTGATCTCCAACTCCTGGGCTCAAGCAATCCACCTGCTTCAGCCTCCCAAAGTGCTGGGATTACAGTCATGAGCCACTGCGCCCAACTGAAAGTTTTCTATAATAGTACAGACATTTATCATAGAGCTCCCAGTGTTCTTTTTTTTTTTAACAGTTGCATGCTATTCTGTTGTGTAAATATACCAGTATTTATTCATCTATTTTTTATATTGCTTCTGAACTTATACTATTACTTATATTGAAATGAATAATTTAACCTTTATTTTTTAAAGCTGTGGTGGATATTGTGTATTGACTTGCTCAATATCCATTACCACTTTTTTTCATTATGCATTCCTCCTGAGAAGAGTTGGTGTTATGAACTGAATTGTGTCCACTGAAAATTCTTTTTTTTTTTTTTTTGATATGGAGTCTTGCTCTCTGCCCCCCAGGCTGGAGTAGAATGGCACAATCTTGGCTCACTGAAGCCTCTGCCTCCCTGGTTCAAGCAATTCTCCTGCCTCAGCCTCCCAAGTAGCTAGGATTACAGGTGTGCACCACTACAACTGGCTGATTTTTGTATTTTTATTAGAGGTGGAGTTTCACCATGTTGGTCAGACTGGTCTCGAACTCTTGGCCTCAAATGCTCTGCCTATGTTAGCCTCCCAAAGTGTAGGGATTACAGGTGTGAGCCACCACACCCAGCCTTCATTCAAAATTCTTATGTTGAAACTGTAATCCCCAGTGTGGCTATATTTGGAGATAGGGCCTCAAGAGAGGTGTTTGAGGTTAAGTGA